GTTAGAGTTAATATTCCTGTGTGTGTGTTGGGGTCACTCCGCCTGTCATTTGTGTATCATTTTTGTATCATACAGCCTTTATCGTACCCTCACAACATTACCGTTCACTTTATATTTAGGTAAACCCCACAGTGACTGACGAATGAGACTGAATGAGTGAATTCTGATGAAGCAGAGATCAGACAGTAAATATGTCCTCATTTTAAATACTTTTATTATCTCCATAGAACATTTTAGAATCAGCATATAGCATTCACAGTATTATACACCTTTCCCCATCTGATTAGAATAAAACCACAGGCTTTTGCAGATTTCAGATTGGTTTCTCATACGCAAAAAGGAAATAGAAACGTCCTCTCCTGGATTCTAATATACATACAAAAGTACAAGAATAAGAAAAATACTTTCCATATTTTACACATATATAAAATGCTCTTTTAATAAAAAGGGCTCCCAGTTTACAAAAGTGTCCATTATCTCATATTTGTATATATACATACACATACATAAAAAAGATGTTCAGTACACATGGTAGTTCTGTAGTGGTGATTGCTGTAGTTGTTCCTATCTGTGTGCGGTTAATAGCTGTAGATGGAGATACTGATTGAGCAGAGAGGGTTATGAATATCTTTTTAATGTCGTTTTAAAATACTAACCAGTGCATTGCAACAGTTTCTTCCTAAGTATGAGAATATAACCCCTTAAATATCATAAGCAGACCCGAATGATAAAGCTCTTACTCCCTAAATTTCCTTTACAGCTGCTCCAGACCTCCTGAGCTCATTTAACTTCGACCGTGTTCATCTTTTATTGTACGCTGCAGCTGAACCAGTGAGTCACTGCTGTTCAGTTTGCACACATTGTGTCTGGGTATCAAAATGAACCCAATTCTGCAGCCGTACACTGCTGGAAGGCAAAGTTAAATTAACTTTAAATGTGACAAACTGGAACTAAACACGAAGTGTTGATGAAGTGGAAATAGATAAGGCTCCGCAAATGAAACTGCACCTTCAAGGAACATACCCATCCACAAACGTCTGAGTTACTGCCTGTTTTTGCTCGACACTCTGCAACATTTTCTAAACCATGTGAAACCTTCACGCACCAGTTTATAAGGTTCATGAAAAGTCAAAACATTTAAGCAAATGTTTGAAAATGTTTAGCCAATTTCCAGTTGTTTAACTGAGTTATCTTAATCATTCTTTACGTTTTACATGGCAGTTAGTAGGATGAGGAATAGCAGAAACAAAACATTTTACTACATGTTCAATTACATCTTTATCCACTATGCAGCCTTTTCATTAAGTTTCTCCTTCATTGTCAGATATCGTATTTATTCAGGGCCGTTTCTTGCTAATAGATGTACATGCAGCTGCTGCCACAAGGAGCCCTGTGGATCCTGTGGATATGCAAATGGTTTTTTAACTGTTTGTATCTATCACGCTAATCTTATTTCATTTTTTGTGTGTTTTTCATTTACTATCTATGAGTTATAAATACACAGCCTGTTAAGTAGTGTTGGCCCCCAAGTGAGATGTCACAGTAACAATTCACTGAAGGCATTCGTAAGGCTACATGACACCTACATAAGCCTTTCATGATAACTGACATAAACCTACATAAACATTAATAAAGGTTTATTCTGACCAAGCATCAGTCATCATAAAGGGTCCCTTTTGTCCATTTAGGGTCATTTCACCTCAGCACGTGTTCTGACAGCTGCCACTTATTGAAATAAGCCTTTCCAAATGTCTGTATACAGTGCTCAGCGTAGTCTTGGGACACCTCTATCATCATTTGTCTTTTTAGAATTATTGGATTTGTTAAAGCGTCATGGAAATTGTACTTAATTTACTTAATTACATAATTTCAGCTATATTATAACTCATTAATAAATACTTTGGGTCCAAACGCACAAAAGCAAACAAGAAAACTTTCACCTAACCCCCTATTTTACACGCAAAAAATGTTCAGTGTTCCTCCTGGAAAGCCACCATCAAACACATGTGACTCAATTTCAATAACATACTGAAAGACAAAAAACTTGAACGCTGAGTTAAATTGCCAAATATCTTAATCTGTCAAAAAATATAGTCTCGGTTAAAATTGGTTCTCAAAATGTGAGAAAGAGCACAGCTACACTGTAAATTCCAAAATCAAGCATGAAAATGTACTGAAGTTGTGAAAAAGACAGGAAGTGTTCAAAACCTGCCACAGTCTGGCCATCAACAAAAAGAAAACCCAACAGGCCTGGCTGGTTGTGCAAACTCACGCACTTCACACCTGGAACACTTCAAGTTGTCATTCAAAAGAGTAATGCAACTAACTATTAACCACATAAAATACTGAATTGTAACCCACATAAAGGAAAGAGACACTAATGTCTGTCCCACTAATGTTCGAATACTTTTACTTGCCCTACATGAGTTTTCAATGAATTACTTGGATCCACATGAGGTTATGATAGTAAACCTGGTTGTTATTGCTAGTTTTTAATGTTTCTAATGAATACAAATGAATAAATCATAACTTTAGCTTGGAAAGTTACAAACAAACAAGACATAAACTCTATTCAGAGAGTGTCCCAAGGCTATTTTTGAGCACTGTAGGTGTATGTCAGTTGTCACAGAGCCGTATGTAGATGTCATATAGGTTTCTGAACTTCTGCAGTGTTTTTTTTCCCAAATTTTCTGTCTAAAAATTCAGAGTAGTTTGAGGTGAAATGATTCATTGTAGAGACTCAGATTTCTTTTACAGTGGTGGTGATAGGAACCAGGAGTCATGATGTCTATAACACAAATATAGCCATTTTATTAATATACAAATTCACCAATGAACCTTCATGTATCAAGCTTTTAAATGTGATGATGGTAAAATAGTGGAAAATCTGAAAAACTTAGTTTTCTTTAGGGACTACATTGCATGTAGCTCTCCACAATTAATTTAAATGATTTGAAAATATATTTTAGTCCAAAATCTTCTTAAAACTATTGTAAAACAATGTCACAGGCAAGAGGCAACATATTCAGTACCATTTCATGTAAAAACCTTATTAAAACACTTTAGACGTCTGGTTCCATTCACCACCACTGTGAAAAATTCTGACTCGTCAAGTTTTTCTAGAATGGAGCATCTCACACCAAACCAGTCTGAATGACTTTGTTTAAATCAACAACAACTATTTAATCATGCAGACATTTTGAAAATTCGGTGGAGTTCCTCTTTAAGGCCCCCAAATGTTCAGAAACAGCCCTGAATTTATTTTTTATCCTATTTATTCTGTCATCTTTAAAATAAAGTCGTCTCTCACAATGCCCTGTTTAAACTCTGACTAAAGCATCTCTTACAAAAAAGACCTTGTCTTCAGACAGACAGACACACACACACACACAGGCTCACGGCTCTCCTCATCAGGAGCAGACTGTATGAACAAGGTCTCGGTTGTGCAGAATTTTGGCCTTTTCAAAACATGAGAGGAATTTCCTTTTTTCTCCCCTCTCCCTCGCACACAAACACAGAGCACATGGGACAGCGTGCAGACAGCTGAGGTCCACCAGAGGTCACGACCCCCTGAAGCAACACCTCTTCACCTTCCAGCCATGTCTCAGCACTAGCCAAACATCTATTATTGATACATTTCTGGTGAGAGTGAATAACAACCCCAGGCGGGCAAATATGGACGGCCAGCTTCAAAAGCTGTCCATCCCCTGGTTCCTAGTGTTCAGAAGCTTGAGGCGAGTGAAAGCAGAAAGGAGTGTGAAGAAGGGTAGAGACTGAGGCACGCTGATTAAAAATGCGTTTGAGGCGAAGGCTGATGCTTTGTCAAAGGCTTTACACCCTTCGCCCGAATGAAAAGAGACAGAGCGCTGAGTTACAGCGAACACAAACACAAACAGGCCCACAGTGTCAGTGAACGCTGTGCAAAAAGTGACATGTGAATGAATGGAATTCGATAGCAGGAGCTGATAGAGGACTCTACTGTTCTAACGTCATGCCAGTAAATAATGACTTCTTTTGTTTTGGCTGCAGCTCAGGAGACGGTAGGCAACATCTGGGAATATGTAAGTGCACTGTCATGATGACTACATGACACAGGCAGGTTCTACAAGGCTGAATTGAACCAGCTATGCTCCGCCCACAAAGGAGCCTTCTTAGCAACTGTTGCTAGGTTGGACAAGCTTTAAAGAACATTTGCTATATATATATATATACATATATATATATATATATATATATATATACACATACATATATACACTACATACATACATACACACACACACACACACACACACACACCCACATACACACACACACACGCTTAACATGACGTATGGGTCAAACATCTTTCTGAATCCAACGTTTAGTTTTAAAGGACACATGCTGATACTGATATGATTCCAGTATCATCATGCATGCCTGTTTGAAATGCTATGCTAACAAGATAGATTGTGTTGTTGTAGTTAACTGAATCGCTATCATTAGTTCAATTACACAACAAAAACGTTCTACCTTAACAGTGTTACCTTTCACAGTTAAAAATAAATCACACACACATTTTCTAAGCTGCTTATCCTTCTGGGTCGCAGGGGGTGCTGGAGCCTATCCCAGCGGTCATTGGGTAGAAGGCAGGAAACACCCTGGACAGGTCGAAAGTCCCTCGCAGGGCAGTAAAAATGAATGTAATCCGAAATTAATAATGTACCCTAAATGTATGTATTTTTATTTTGTCTTTAGCTTGAATGGAATTTCTGCCAGCATCCTGTAAAGCTTGTCTATCCTGGCAACAGTTGCTCTTTATGCTATGAGGTCAACTGCGACAAGCAAGACAACACAACACATTATTCCAATAAAGGCATGTTGCAGAGTACACTGAGAAAAATGCAGCATTTTTACTTGATTCAAACTTGTACATCTGTGCCATATAAATAAAATATATTACATCAACACAATTTTTTATTTCAATTTACTCACTTATGGCAAGAACTGAGCTGATGTAATATATATTATTCATGTAGCACCGATGTACAAATTTGAATCAAGTAAAGTCAGCATACTGTTTTTTTCAGTGTAAGACTTTATGGATGGTGAATAGTAAGAAACACTGTGGAGGAGATTTTAGAAGTACTGCAGCCAGGGCTAGAACCCACAGAAACTGATATGTGTGAACATGACATGGTGTCTCATTAACTCCTGAAGCCCTTTGTACGAAAGCACATATCACAGAACAGCTGCATAACAATCATCATTGATCAGGACAGTTCCAATAATCTTGCATTATTCTATTCTTGATCATCATCATCGTTATCATCTTCACTAAATGCTACTATGCCAGTTTTGACATGCAGGAAGTGTCACATAAACTGCAGAGGCTCTGCGTTCCAAGAAAAGACAGTGGCACTACAGAGAGTTCATCTAAGCTAGAGTGCAGATATTGATCTGAGCAGGCATCGCAATTCCATTTGTGTTGAACACACTCGGTGAGGATGTGTGTTTGTTATTGTGTTCTTTCATCTGTTCCGACACAGTGTCCAAGCTTCTTGCTGTATGAGATGACCTTGTTTTTGTCCAAGTACAAGATCAAATGAGGCTGGCAGAAAAAAAAAAGAAAAAAAAAAAGAAAAACATAAGGCGCGATGAATGGAGAGCCGTAAGGCACTTCCATGAGGAGACGAGCACATGTGTATTCCCTGGCTGCACTTCCACAAACCAACTCCACTGTGAAGCCCCCACTTTCAATCTTCAACAGTCCTCTGGGAGATCAACATCTTCTTGATGTTTTGTGACAGGTACAGCACTTTCAACAGTCTATTTTGCCTTCATTTTTTTATTCTACTTGTGCATAAAGACTTCATACGTGTGGGTCCCATATCACTGCTGTCATAAGAAAACTTTGTAACTTTTTTCTTTTTTATTTATTTTATTATTATTTTTTTACACCATTTGAAAACTCCAGCTGCCCTTTATATTGTGGAAACCTTTCATGATGAATGACTCAATAGAAACTTTCACGTTTGAGTTATGTTGACGGATGTTGAGAACTTTTCTATTTTCTCCTGAAGGTACCGTTTTGGAGATACAAGGCTTTCTTACGACATTGCTGATACGCTCTATGTGAGCGAAGGGCCGTTTCACAACGTGATGAAGTTGCCATCCTCCCTCATACTCTCCTGGCTGCTGCTCGTCTTTGTGGGACTGCCGTTGTGCGTGGGTGTGGTCAACGAGCTCAGGGAGGCCTTACTGTCTGACAGAGAGCTGCTGCTGGGCAGCGAGACACTCTGGGGGAGGGGCCTGTGCCCGAACGCCCCCGATGACAGAGTGTTGCCATGGATGTTCCCATTGGCCAGTGAACGGTGGGGCGTGTAGGAGGGCAGGTTGTCGCTCTCAATGATGAGGTCAGTGTCATCGTCGTCGCTGTCTCCTTCCGCCACGCTGTTGCTGTTACTGCACTGGCTGACAGTTTGGGAGGCGGGGCTGTGAGCGGAGTCCTGGGAGAGGGCAGAGCCTCCAGAACCGGCTGAGCCATTGCCAGCGGAGGCTTTGCTCCCACGGTGCACTACGTTGTTGCGCTGGTTAGCCGGCTTGACCGTCACGATCAGGTTGTGGCTGTTGGCCACCATCATGTCCGTCACCTGGTCCAATGACTTGCCAGCAACATCAATACCATTCACCTCCAGGATCTCGTCGTTGACCCCCAGCAGACCTGTGCTCTCAGCCAGGCCGCCCCTCACCAGGCGCGAGATGAAGACGCCCGGGACCTTCTCCACGCCCTGCGGCGTCACCCGCACACTGACACCATCGCGAATGTAAAAGCCCAGGGGCTTGTGGGTGCCGTGCTTGTGCAGGCGCACACGGCGGTGCGTCTCGGGCAGGATGTCCACGTCAATGATGGAGGAGATCTGTCGGAAATCCTGAGGGCAGACCGATCAGTAGGGCCGGCTTGTTCTTCTGCTGTGAAGGACGCAGGCCTGCAAGACCCTTCTTTCTCCTCTGCAGAGAGTTAGTGGGAAAGACCACAGGTTCATCCTCATCTGAGAGAGAAAGAGAGAAAGAGATATAGGTCATATAGATAAAAAAAACAGCATAATATCATACCAGTGGTCAAACTAGTGCTTAGTTTGAGTAATATTAATAGACAAAAAAATGTATAGCAATGTACACTAGTGGTCAAAAGTTTGGTTGTCATATTAATTGCTGTTCTTTTATTACACTTTTATAATTTTTGTAATATACAATGTAGAATGAAATACTATAAACTAGACCCCAGAAGGTATTTCAAGATGTTTAATCAATTTGTTTTCTGTGAACACCAAAACATTTTTAAACAATAAAGAGCTTACTTTAACTATAACTTCATAAATAAAAAAAAACATAAAATATAAAATGTGCCATAACTTTTGACAATGTCTTTTTTTGCAGTACATTAAATTCCACAAATAAACAGTAACGACGAGGCCATGTTCACTTATGTTCACTAGTGCATGAACATAGTGGGGTGGCCAAACTTTTGCATACGACTGTACATCTTGATATTAAATTTTAGCTGTTCACACTCAGCATGAGGTCAACTGATACGCTGGACAGCAGATATTCAGATATTTCTGAGCAACAGTATCGGCATCTGCAATATTGTACACAAAAGATATAATCTCATATACAAAAGACTTTAAATTACAGAGACAAGTCATGTGAAACACAGCGCTCCTTGTGTCAACTCCTACCACTGCCACTAGGTCTGATATTAGTCACTGCCAGCCTTGCATTCATCTTTCATCTGAGAAACTAATAAGAAACAATTTTTTTTTAATTTACATGTTGACTTTAAATTGCAGTGAGATTTTATGAGAGGATGCCTAAAAAAAGTAAAATTGTTTACTTGTCGACCGCTATATGTTACTTTTCACCCAAACCTTGAGAATCCTGCACAACCATGCACACGCTACGATTCCCTCAGAGTGTATTCACCTGAAACCGTCTCATATCCACTGACCTGCATCAGCCCAGAACACTTCCCTCTCTGTTCATCATGGCAAAGCAGAATCTATTAATTTCATTTTTCTATGAAAACGGCTGACAGAGATGCCAACCGGCGACAGTGTTAATGTGCCATGATAAGGTCACGAGGAAGCACCAGCACAAAGGAACAGAACGGACTCAATCACGATAATGGTGGGGCGGACGCAAGGATGGATGGATGAAAATAAAAAGCGATTGCAATAAATCTGTCTCAGTCACTTGTAAAAAGGACAGAGGTCAGCAGACAGAATCAGATTACACGCGAGGCAGATTAATCAAAGCCTCTGTCACGGCGATTTAGAGTCTGAACACCCGGAAAAGCACTGCTGTTACACAGGTAACAGAACAGAGGCCTCAGGAGCTTCTTTTAGTGTGAGGTGGTGGGCACTGAGGAGGAGACGGCAGGCCCTCAGAGAGAGGGAGAACAGGCATGCTGTGATGAGGAAGAGAAACAGGAAGTCATCAACACCTTCACCTAGATGACTAACTAACAATTTGTGTGTGTGTGTGAGTGTGTGTGTGAGTGTGTGTGTGTGTGTGTGTGCGCGCACGCATGTGTCTGTGTGTGGGTTGTTGCTGCCATGATTATTGATAAAAATGGATTACTGTTATAGACGTCACTGGCACCAAACACTAATGCTAGGATGCCAAGTAAGTTTAAGCAATTGATAAAATGGTACACAATTAACAGTTAAAATATAGTAGAAATTACATATCTATATTTTTCATGTTTAAAATTACATACGGTATTGTGCATAAAAGTCTCAGACACCGAAGCACATTGTTTGAAGCTATTTATCTTGTATAAATATGAGTTTTTGCTTGTAAAACAATGTATATCATTAGAATAGATGTAAATAGACATAAATACAGTAAAATGTAACAAGAATTTCTTATTTTGCAAAAAGCAGTTGAGCTAGTTTGAAGAACAAAGTTCCAGATTTCTCCTGGACGCCTCCAGCCATCACATGGATTTATTCAATTCCATCAGCAGCACACTTGATTTAATTTAATGAACCACTGATTAGCCAATCCACATATTGAATGATCGCTATAATTTATACTGTGCTGCCATGAGGAAAAGTTTGGAAAAGGTTATATAAAACATTGACACACATAAATCACAACTTACTGTATTAATATTATTTGTACTTATTCTAACATTCGTGTTTTTCTGAGCAAATAAACACTTATTGTCCAGAAAATGGCTTTTTTTTAATCTGATTTTCTCAGGTGACTAAGACTTTTGACTTTATATTTTCAAAGTTCAATACTCAGTTTGTCTAGGACCGTGTCCACTCACACAGAGACAGCAACAAAGCCGTAGTCATGACAACAATAACAAACAAAATGTGGTCATATTTCAAACAACATTTTCTTAATGTGCTTAATGAGCACCCTGATGTGACACTCACTTGGCTCAAAGTAAAACTAGGACTGGATTTTTCAGATCACGGATTGATGCGCAGGATGCTTTTGTATATAAAAAAAGAAAAAGATCAATTTGTCCTAATGTAGTTTTACCTAATACTAACGTCATTTTTTCCACTGTAACGTGTATTATCTAAGGAGGCGCAGATGCAGAAATTATGTCAATATCCAACATTTTTTATGTCAATATCTGCTGATGCCAATATATAAATATTTATAAAATGCAGAAATTAGGACTACATATATCTGGATTAGCATGACAAGGATATATAATATTTGTAGAAGCTTAAAAATGCAATAAAATTAATTAATGTAGATTTTTTGCCGAGTAGCCCAGCGTCACCTGAATGCTCCACTCTTCTATAGTCAAAAAAAAAAGAAAATCATAAAATATCAGTTTGAAACATTGCTTTTCTACTATCAAACTCACTGATTACATTCCAGGTAGTTACAGACTATGAAAATAAAACTGGTGGAACAACTTTAGTTATTTGACCCTTTATCTGAAATGAACGCGCATGCACAGTTTTGTAATCACTAAGCTAATGGTGAAGGCATCGGAGAGCAGTGAACATGGGCAGCTGCTTTGGAAGAAAAACGTAAATGTCATGGCATGAAAGTATTTCAGGCCAGAGGCCGAACATGCTACAGATCCAGTTTGCTGTACATGATACGCAACAGTCCTTTGTACGTGAGGAAAAAATGAGCAATTTATTTGTCCACTTTCATAGCCATCACTCAGTTTGATACAGTGAGCACCAGCATCTTTCTAGCCCCAATACTCTGTTCACACCTGGTCATTTCATGTGACGTGTATCTGAATTGTAACCTGACAGGATTTTAACTGCATGCATTTACACTTGGCAGTCAAATGTGTCTCCAGATAATCAGACTGAAATCTAACAGCTAAATCAAATCAGCTCATATACAACAGCAAATCACCTGTGTTTTGCCTCGTTTTTTTCTGTTCTATTCAAAAGACGCCTGCTGCCTTGAAAAACACAATTCTGCCTGCTGTTAATCACTTCTTTACACCGGCATAACACCAATGTCTACAAGAAGATGGCTGTTCAGAACATTATCCTCCTGTATTAGTCATCATAGTCTTGGACTATGTGAGTTTAAACATAATATACCGTGGCAAGACAATAACTATGAGGCGAAATAAAGATTAACAAAACTGGAAATTTATTTTAACAAGCTTGGGCAGCTGAAGTCTACTGAATTAAATAAGGAGACACTCACATCAAGAGCTGAACTGAAGGAGCAACAATGCCTCTTCTTTTATATAAATGTGCGTGTGTTTGTTTTTACAAAGCCCGTTTTTTAACTGCGCTGTTTCGAGCATATGACCATTCTCAAAGCACCTTCACCCACCAGCTTACGTCCAAGACTTTGCGCCTTCTCAGCACGATTTCCAACCATCTGCGTCATCATATTCCACATACTGCCCAATGAGTGGCCCTTTCTAAACAGCTGATGAGGGGGAATCAGATTAATTAGGCTGTTTGACCACATGCCCAGGCAGACCCACGGAGGGGCCAGCCCTAGATTATTACACTGAGCTCTTCACGTCTAATTCATTATCACAGTGCTCCGGGAGGCTGCCGGATAGCAGGGGGTGGAGGTGGTGGGTGAAGGGTAGCCTTACTCAGCCGCACCCTGACCCCTGAACCCAGCACTAATGAGAAATGACACATTCTCATCAGCAGACGCCCAGTCTGACGCAATGATTCTAGCAAGGACAATAGAGGCGAGTGTGTAGCTGTGTTTGTGTGCACATGTGTGTTTACTTTGACATGTTTGCAACTATGTTTGTATGTGGCGTTTGAATGATGTAGACCAGTCTTAATCCTGCTCCTAGTGACCCACAGCACAACACTGTAGACCATTCATATTACAGCTTTCCGTAATCCAAATCTCAGCATGACTACAAGACTACAATTCTGTCTAGGGATGGACATTTTAACCATTTTAAATATACATATTTAAAAAAGCACAAAAAAGAGTGCAAGTTTAATATTTGATTATTGTTAGTCTCTATGCGTATGCTTAAGAGATCTGTACCTGGTTGTTTGACTTGATTTAGCAGTGTTGGGGGTAATGTGGTATAAAGTAACGCATTACACTAATGAAGTAATGAAGTACACTCTTAAAAATGGTTCTTCAAAGGTTCTTTAGTAAAGGCAATAGTTCTATATAGAAGTTCAAATGGTTCTTTGCCTGGTCAAATCATTCTTCCTTACAATGGAAAGCCAGTTGAATCTGGTTCTTCAAAGAACCCTTTTAAATAGTTCTATAGAGCATCTAAAAAGGGTTATACTATTTTCATGAGCCAAGGAACTCATTTTCTGTACTAAACAGAACCCTTTTTGTAGTCTAACACATTCTGTAATTCTTGTCCTCACATTACAGTGACTGACTTAATAAGAATTACATTACCTATATTACTCATATGTCTCTAACATAGCAATACTGTATTTAGAACATAGACTATTCATGCCTGTATGTTATCTGTGTGTGTAACAGCTGACTGTGTGACTCTGACTGTGAATATGAGCAGCACAGTGCAAACACCTCATTA